CCGGAAGATCTCTGTAAATTGAGGCCAGCATGGTCTACAAAGCCAATTACAGGGCAGCCAAAGTGGTTATACAGAGAACCTTATCTTAAAAATAAACAAAGTAGCTACAGAAAAACAGTGAAAGGATGGAAGGAAAGAAGGAAGAAAGGAAGGAAAGAAGGGAAAGAGAAAGAAACAGAGAAGAAAGAAAGAAAGAAAGAAAGAAAGAAAGAAAGAAAGAAAGAACTCTCAGCATGCATTTTTGCCTTCACTTAATTTATAATGGCATTTAGGTCAAGAAGATGAAAATAATGTTATGCATAACTGAAAAGTAAAGTTAAAACTATAGATAATAAAAGCTAGTGATATTCAGTATAGCCTCATATGATTAAGAAAGACTTTATGAGACATGAGCAGCCTATGAATATTGGGAAAAACTAGAAAGTCTTTTTCCTTGGAGGCTGAGCTGTGGTGTTTCAGTCTAGACCATTCCTCCTTGCTACCTAGCAGGTTCTAGATATATACCTATAATATAGCTCCCCAACTGGATACTCCATGTTCTTAGAGATCAAAAATCATTGTCTGATAATGTGGGATGCCTCTCTGTATGCTGTGAATGTGTTTTATTACCATTGGTTAATAAAGAACCTGATTGTGCCAATAGCCAGGTAGAATATTGCTAGGCAGGAAATCCAGAGATACAGAGAGAAAGAAGGCAGAGTCAAGGAGATGCCGTGTAGCCACAGGAGTAGTACTATGGAACAACATTACTGGTAAGCCACAGGGCACTTGGTGATTAAAAAAAAAAAGATTGTTAGAAATGGGTTGATTTATTTTTACTAGTTAGTAAAAACCTGATCCATTGCCAGATATGTATAATTAATGTAAGCCTCTGAGTGGTTATTCGAGAACTGGGCATTGGTTGAAGTGAGAACTTGCTAGGGGCTGGCCACTTTGCTTCTCTGATCTTCAACTTTAACCCCAATATCTGTCTCTGGATTATTTGTGCTACAACTCAACAGGACCATGATTCATATATAAGTCACTTGTTCACTGATACATTTATTTGTTTATTTAGCAACTGTTTGGGTACCTACTATATGTCAAACTTTGGAAATGATGACAGAGAAAGAGTAACGATCAAGAGAAGCATGAGGTGACAGACTATGGAGAGGGTCAATGAAGGAACAATGATTCCCCCACTTAATTGCCAGACACCTTGTACTGTAAAGATTGGGTTACTGTTGCCTGTCATTGAAAACTCAAACAAGAGCATTTAGAACTTTCTTCTCATGCACTGAGGAAATAGTATTCTGCCAATTGTCAAAATAGCCCTTAATCTGATACAATAGACAAGACACTTAAGCAGGTGCCTGGGTTTTATTCCATTTTCTCCTTGTTCTACGAAGTAGGCCAGCTTATTTCCACAATCTCTAAACCTTCTCAAGTCATGAGGGAGAGAGAATGCCTCAGGAGCACTGCAGTCAGCTCACACTGTGGGTAGCCTCTCACCCAGGCTCCATTTTGTGCATCCAGAGTAGCAGCTTCACTGCAGCATGGTGGGTGACGGGTTCCCTGCCTGCCAGCAATGCCACCTGCCTGTCTGGGGCAGTGGTTCTGGCATCAGTGGGGTGGGTGTTACTTCATTGTGTAGCATAGGGAAGCTCACAAGTCACCTTTTTCTCAATAGAAAAGGAAGGGGCACTTTCAGGGTCTTTCATCTGGGGACCCCTGTGGACTGATACTGTCTTCATGTGTTTATGGTGTCTCCTTTTTTCTTGAGCTGGACACAGACTCAGGGGTCAACCATCTCGCCTTTCTATACACACTTGTGCCTCCCTCCAACTCCATCTTCAAGGTGCTGTCAACTCTGAGCCTTCCCATTCATTTTCAGTGTGAGAAGTCCTTAAGCTGAGTCAGAAAGCCTGAAATGTTACAATTAGAGGAAGAAGAGCTTGGGCCAGAACATTTTTTATTCTTATTAGCATAAGGAGGTCAAAATTACATATGCCAGATGTGTTCAGCTCCCTGCACCAACATTCTAAGGTGTCAAACTGAAGCTTTGCAAATACTCCTGGGGACCAGCACGTGATGTCTGAGGATTTAGGGTTTGTGAAACTGCAGCACTAATGATAACAAGGGCTAAGCAATCAAGAATGAAGAAAACCAGAACAAAAAGCTATGGCTGGCCCATCTCCATGAGCAACTGTTAGACCACCAAAGATACACATCATGTCGGCCTTATCTTTATTTTAAGCACTTGTCTCTTCTTTGAAATGAAGATTGAAAGAAACATTATAATAGGAATGTGGGTATGAATAAATGGTGAATGCATATTTCATCATGGCACCACCATGGAGATTTACATAGACCCAAATTCAAATTCTACTTTCCTCTTTCTTAGCTGGGCAACCTTGAACAAATCACTGAACCTCTCTGAGCTTCATTTTTTTCTCATTGTAACTTAAATGTAGAAAATCACACAGTCTTGAGATGAAATTTAATATAAATAAAATTCACCTCAGCCATAGTAGGTAAATGCTGACCTTCTTTGCCATTGTTAAACAAAAAACATGACTATGGAGAAAGGAAAGGCAGAAATATAACACATAAGGACAAAACCAAGCAGATTATTTGAGAAGGTTCCATTTCATTTTTGATCTCTTCAAATATAAGTTTTCAGCCTCAGAATCTATACTCATTCTTCAGCCTCTCCATGGAACTCACACAGGACAGCATTCTTCTATAGCTGCCACTTCTCTTTCCTTCACCATTCCCTCCTCACAGGCTATGGAGGGTTTTATCAGTAGCTTTCAGGGAGACTATGAAGGGACTTGCTCCATCTTTTTTGTCATTTTTGACAGATCTGAAGGCATCTGGACACCATGTAGATATTCCAGGACAACATCTCCTCTTTTTAACCATAACTAGTTATGATTCCACCATTGTGTGCCCAAGTCTCCATTGCTAGCATTCTCAAAAAGAGTCTTCCAATAGGTGGTAGATAGAGTACTGGATGTCTTGGGTTCCCCAGCCTGACACAGCTGCAACTTATTGCTGCTTTGCTAAGGGCAGAAGAAGAAAAGAGAATATGAGTTGTTTCTGTGTATATTTGACCTGGACCCATGATGTCAATCACCTCAGTGACAGTGCTTTCAGAGCACTAAGTGCCCTGTGTTCCAGATGGGATAGAATTGGTAGAAACATATCATATACTTTGTATACCATATTAGGGGAGAATGAAATAGAAAGGAAAACAGAAAAGAGGCCTCAATTTTTTCTTCCAATTTTTTCAAGGGTGTTGAGTTCAAGGGAGAGTCCTCTTTTAATAGCTTCTTGCATGGCAATCACATATCTGAAAGAAGTAAGGGGATGTTGGAATTCAAACAACCCAACAAAGGCTTTGCAAATAATGAGATGAATGTTGGATCCCTAAGCCAGAAGTTAGGTACCATGAGTCTGATAAATGAGACTGTGAAGGACTGATATATAGGCAATGCACTCTTCTAGTTGAGGCACTACCATATCAGTTGCTTTTAAAAAATAAATGGGGTTTATCACTGTTTACTCCAATTAGGAAAGGCCTTAATGGTCCACTGATCAGAGTCCCAGTGTCAAATGAGATGATCTGTATGTTCCTTACCTCTCTGACTCCCTCCTTTCTGCCTCTCTCAGACTTTCTGAAGGAGAAATTCCATCTACTCATCTAAACTCTAAAATCAATCTAGAATTTGGCACTGGCAGATTTTCTTAGCCCTTCTTACATCTACTATTCCTATATTCTCCTGTATCCTTTGTGTTTATGCTTCTTACCAAGATCAGCAGTAGTTAGATCAGACTATATTTAAAATAGTCTAAAAACCAGCTCTATCAGTTTACCCTGAATAAAGGGCAGCAGTTGGGACATTAGGGGGACTTAAGAACACTTAAAGGCCTAGGACATGTGACTCAGATAGCCTCTGATGCTTTTCTAGTCATCAAAATATATAGCCAGAGTAAGAAGTAACTGTCATTATTCCTGGAACTTCTCTTAATATAACAAATAGTCCAAGCCTGGCCTAGCAGTGTAAATATTGATTGTCACATCGTTCAGTCCTCATGAAATTCATTGTTCATGTTAGGTACTTTTTCTTCTCTCGTATGTTTGCTCAACCTTGTAATTTTAGGAACCATTAAAAATTAACTGTCTCATATTTCCTCTTTTAAAAACAAGTTTTAATTTCCAAAAGCACAAGTTTTATTTGAAAGTAGTTGCTTTTATAACTTGGTATCTTGACGTTTGGTATTCTGGAGTATTAGAATTGCCCTAAATCTCTGGGCTTAGGCCCAAGAATTTGCACTTAAGTAACTTCCAACTGGTGACTTAGCACATTCATATACATGAATCATTACACTGACAGGAAGACCCATTCATGTCCCTAAATGGGAAAAACATTTCAATTCTTCATTTTTTTCCCTCTCAACTGCAGATAATATCTGTTATTTTCTGTAGTATATGACATTTATGATTTCCTTAAAATAAATTGTCTATTTCTGGTTTTGTTTTGTTTTGATTTAGAGACAGTCTCTCTTTACATAGCCCTGGTTGTCTAGGAACTCAATAGGTAGACCAAGCTGGCCTTGAACTCACAGAGATCTTCTTACCTCTGCCTCCTGAGTGCTGGGATTGACGGTCTACACTACCATACCTGACTATATTGTTTATTTCTGAACCTACATTTAGAAGTACACATAATTCTATAGCCTATACCAGGGAAGATAGAAGTAAAGGTGGGAAGAGAATTGTGGTAGAGTCACAAATGGACATTTCACCATACTTGTAAGTTATCAGCTCTGTAGAAGTAAAGATGATAAAAAATATCAGGAGAACCATTCTCTGATACATAGTGGGGTGAGTGGCAGTACCTTCCCACGTGAGGCCCATTCAGACCCTCATGTAGTCAAGACTGCTCCTTCCTCACCAAGGTTACCAGGGAGCCAGAAGCCATCGCCACTCCTAAGTTTCCTGTTTGTTCCTGCAGATCCATGACTCAGGGCCTGCAGACAGCACAGTCCAGTTCATCTTCTATCAGCCGATCATCCACCGATGGAGGGAAACAGACTTCTTTCCGTGCTCAGCTACTTGTGGAGGAGGTAATAGCGCTTGCTCATCTAGCTAACCCAGGCCACTAGGAAGAAAAAGCTGGATGTTGTGATGTTGGAGTAACTTCAGTGTGGAAGAATCCCTTGTTCTGAATGGAGCCAATTCCTGAAGCCACCCTAAGGTGGCCCAGGAAGTTTTTCCTTTGTGAAAGCTCATAGCAAACACCTCTTTGCTTGGCATCATGGAAAGCCAGGACTAGTAATACCGTGTCTGTCGGCAGCTTAACCCTGCGGTGCTTCCTTTACCTATGCATAGACTTGTCTGGTGGATGCGATGCCGCTTCTTCAGGAAGCACATGAAGATGTTTGTCAGGCTTGCTCCATTACAGAAAGATTATTACCAGAAAAAAAATTACTGCACTGTTGACTTAAACTCAGTTATTTTTTTTTGCCTGCACCCATCACCATAAATTTAATCCATAAATTCCTGTCCCCATACTGTCACATTCATGTCACGCATAGCATCTGGTGTTACTAAAAGAGATTTTCTCCCCATTTTCTGTTTTTCATAATTGTAGTGGGTAGTCAATTTCTTTGAAGTATTTTTTAATAATTTAGTCATTTCCCTGTAGGAGACTACTTGGTTCTTTTAAATATTATACTATTACAATGTAATCAACAACATAATGCCTTTATCCTTCGTAATCCAGCAGTGTGGTTACTTGATAAAGGAGTTTTAGATTTTTTTCCCCAGTGGTTGCATGTATTACCAAAATCTTTCCAGAAAATTAAGTGTGTGAATATTTTAGAATGTCAAAATTTGTGAGTTATCTTTTGTTTTCTATCTTAATAGATCTAAAATTACATACATATTCCTTTGAAAATTGGCATATCTGAAAAATTCTTTCTCTAGTTTCATGGATACTAGTTGATTAAGTTTAAATTCATCCACATTGGAATTATTCATAATAGTTAAAAATTATAGTACCTAAAAATTGGGGCAATTTTTAAAATAGTAAGAATATATGACACAATTCCCCAATGGCTGTGTTATTCCTATCTATATAATACGAACAAACCCATAGACATGGTTCTAAAAGCAGTACCATACTGTCATAGTTAGTGTTTCTATTGCTGTGATAAAACACCATGACAAAAAGCAACTTGAGGAGGAAAGGATTTATTTGGTTTACACTTCTACATCACAGTCCCTCAACAAATGAAGTCAGGGTGGGACTCAGGACAGGACCCTAGAGGCAGGAACTGAAGCAGTGGTCATATAGAAAACCACTAGCTAGTTACCTGTGCCTTGCTCACCCTGCTTTCTTATACCAGCAACTTATACCAGAACTACATGTCTTGGTGCACTGGGACTCCCATTTCCATCATTAATCAAGAAAGTGCCCAACAGAAATTGCCTACAGGCAAATATTAGGGGCACATTTTCTCAGTCAAGGTCCCTTCTTAATTGACCCTAGCTTACTTCAAGTTGATGAAAACCCTAATCAGCACAGATTTTTAACTTAAAAATAATGAGTCAAACCACTATCAAGTATACTTGCATTTCAATGCAATAGTATTTCTATAGTTTATATACCTGACCTGAAAAGAAAGTTACTTTCTTTTCAAACAAATTGCCAGGCTGAGGCGATAGCTCAGCAGTTAAAAGGGCTTACCATGAAAGCAAGAGAACCAGAGTTCAGAGTTCAGATGCCCAGAATTTACATAAATTCTGTGAAGTTGTGGCTGCCTGCCTGTAATTCCAGCCTCAAAAAGGAAGGAGGGAGAGACAGACAGACAGACAGACAGAGAGAGAGAGAGAGAGAGAGAGAGAGAGAGAGAGACAGAGAGAGAGAGACAGAGAGAGAGAGGAAAAAGTTACCAATTTTGTTGATATTTCATGAGAACAAATTTCTGTACATCTATGAATGAGACATACAGAAAACAGACTTAAAGAAAAGGGCATCTAGTGAAATAATTTTTCTTCTTAGATGTAAACCATACCTTTAACAAAATGGCAATTCAATTGTATGCACCCTATATCATTTCACACAGAGTTTCTGTGACAGTATAATTTCAGTGGCCTTGACAATGGCTTACTATGAAATAAAGCAATTAGTGTTACATTCTTCTATTTCCAGCCACATTGGGTCTCCTTTTACTGACAAGGAAAAGTAGCACTCTCCATGGTTTTCCAGGGTCGGGCCTTTGTTCACAGGAAATCTTATTGGGAAGCCCAGGAAGAAAAATAGTGCCCTGTGGGGTGTGAGGGATGTAGTCTCCCTTTCTCTCCATGGAGCAGTCTTACAATCTGAGAAGAGAGCTGTGGGTTCCCATGTGCATTCCCACTGTCATATTCGTGTGGCTGGCCACATTGCCAGGTGTGAAGATGCTCAGAGGACCAGGTTGGCCCTTTGCTTTTCATTCCACGTCTTTATTCCACAGTGTGGAAGAACTTTGAAGCAGTGGGTTTAGGTTGAAGATGACTTCAAAAACCATATCCACAGCCTAATTTCTTATTTCTTCCCATGTTTTACCACCTGATAAATTCTGTCCTTGAGTAGGAAGTATTCTCTGGAAAATTCTAAAGTGTTTAGCTTATAAAATCAGCTGCTTTGGAGGACAACTGAGTTGAAAAGTAAAAGTATGTTGACTGCTCTAAAATGTCATTCTGCTTCACTTTCCCGTAAAGCAAAGCATTAGATGGATGTGTGCACTGCCCACTGCTTTTGCTGCTCTCTGTGCTTTTCATCTTCCCAGCAGAATTTTTAAAGGACGTTTTTAAGGTCTTTAATGAACAATTAATTTTTGTGGGTGGTCTGAGAACACAGCCTCGAGCCAGGAAATCTGGCTTCAAAAGCCTCTTTCTGACTTCCTAAAACCTTTGCAAGTCCCTCAATGATTTCCATCTTGTTTCCAAATACATATTTAGTAATAACTCACCTACCTGCCAGGAAGAATATTCAGGGGTGGGGAGGGGTTTGGATTAGAAGGATACCAACTTTTAAAATTCCTGACGTTTACTTATTTTCATTCCAAGTCTGGATCACTGCTTTCCAAAACTTAACAAAACAGGTGAGAAAGATCAAACACATTATAAATAAAATTAAATATTACTCAGCCACTTTATGGAAAGAGAAATATCAAAACAGTGGGAAAGGAAGCCTATAAAATATAAGGCAGATACTTGATTTGAGGAGAAATGCCAAGTATTTTGGAGAAAGTGAAAGTTAGGAAAGAAAGCTTGGGAGGAACTACCATTTTGATTTTTGATTTTCATTTTTTATTGTGTTTGATTTTGTTGTTTTAATTTTGTAAAGAAATCAGACTCATGGCAGCTGTTATAGGGACTTTAACTCCCTACTTATTTAGTTCAGCTCATTCAGGTTCAGTTTAGGCAGCCTGGTAGTTCCTGATTCAGGTGGGACCTGATTCACAAATCTCTGTTGTCCAAAGAGGGCACATTGAAATTTGTTTTATTTTATTTATTCACTTATTGCTTACTTTCTTAATGACTTATGAGTTGTTTTTTCTTACTAGAGGCCCCAGAGATGCAGAGGCAATTTAGCATCCTTTTATAAGTTTTAAAAAATAATAATGGTATTTTTATATAAAATAAACAATATTTTTTACCACAGAATTTTATAATCTATGTTCTTGTTTCACTCAAGCCTTTTAATATGATCTGATTATTAAAATGAATGGATTACTTGAGAAAATATAGAATTTGAGGCCTACAGCGTTAATGAGTCTTCCGATTATATATTTGTTTTCTCTTGGAAATGACTTGGGCAATGGGAATAATTTCCATTAATGGGAGCAGCCCCAAATCATACAGAAGTGTATTGTGCTGACATGGGCACTAAGTGACCTGGTTGGTTTGATGTTTACAGGTTACCAGCTGACGTCAGCTGAGTGCTTTGATCTCCGGAGTAACCGTGTGGTCGCTGATCAATACTGCCACTACTACCCAGAGAACATCAAGCCCAAACCCAAGCTTCAGGAATGCAACTTGGATCCCTGTCCAGCCAGGTCAGTTTAGTTTACCAGTTTGTTTATCAGAAACACAAATCAGGTTTCCAATTAGCTTCTTAGATGAAAGTGAATGTTTAACTTATAAATAAATGACACATCCCTGCCCAAAGTCCCCACCAGCTGTAAGTTAGTGGTACCCAGGCTCCTTGCTCTTTCATCTGTGTGATGCTATAATAGGGTCTATGGACTTTCTTTCCTTAAAGTGCTCTTCAAAATGAAGTCTTCTCTTTCTCTTTGGACATCTTGCTTCTCTTCTGTCTGATGCACATCTTGGTGTTTAGGCCAGCATGATGGCACAGTATGTCTCCCAGTTCTTCCCAGTCTTTTCCCAGTCTCTGATCAGGAATGTGGTCACAGAAGGCTGCATGTCAGGACTATGGCTGACCCATTCTAGCATAATCAATTCACACAATTAATTAGACTCAGAACCAGCCACAAAACAGTTTTGCTGTCTTTGAACAAACTCAGCTTTAGCTAAGTAGAAGCCAGGGCCTATTTCCAAATCAAGCTTTCTTGGGGATCTTTTTAATTAGCAGGTCTAAAGATTTAAATCTTTAACACCTTCACACACTAATGTTTGTTTTGGAAAAACCATAATTGGCCCCTGGATTATTTGCAAGATCAGGAGTCAGCCGGACTAATGAAGTGTCTGGATGATGACTGATGGTGGGTGTGCAGGTGGAGAATCTGCTCATGCGTGGGGCCTTTGCTTACCTCTTCAAACACCAGCAAGTGATTCTTGGTTGAGGCTCACTCATCCATGACTTATTAGACAGCATCTAAGAAAACCCTTCTCTACAAAAGCAAATATCAGTCACAAAGACCAAATGCCAAAACATCCTTTCTTATAAATGATTTCTACGTTATATTTTAAATCATAGTTTATCAATTATATCATGAAAGAAAATGTCTGAACAGCTGGGCTGTTAAGTGGGTGGTGTAGATGGAGAGCATTCCATCTGCACCTGGTAAAGGATGCAAGTTGAGGGGTTTTTCTCCTATTGTTCACATTTTTAAAGTATTATGTTGTTCTCTTTCTGCCTTATGTCAAGAAGTCTAAACTACATGTGTGATTTGAATTTGCAATTATTAATTAACATTTAGGAACCATAGTACATAAATCATAAATGTAAACTCATTAAAGGAACAGAGAGTTTACAGCTTTATAATTTTGTTTAATTTAGCTTTGTGTTTACATTGTAATGTGGGATATTAAAAGTTAGATGTGATACCAAACTAAATAAGGTTAAATTTTTGTTTGGCTTTGCTTTAGAAGTATCAAGTAGTTGAAGTACGTTTAGCTATGATAATTATAACCAGTTCAATCAAACCCTAAAAACCCTATTTTAAAATTATTCCATTTATACATTTTTATCCATAACTGTAACAAGAAAAAAGCATATTTATCACAATTCAGAGGAGTAAACTCTGTCACAAAGACACTGAAAGTCGTGTGTGTGTGTGTGTGTGTGTGTGTGTGTGTGTGTGTGTGTGTGTGTATTTCTGGGAGAAATAGATGCATTTCCCCACAGTTTTACTTTCAGTGAAGAAATGGCCACAGAAGAGGGTTTGAAAGCATTATTGTTAACAACTTGAAGAAAATGTTTGTAATGGGAAAAATTTAGACTTTGTTTCTGGTTTCTGATTTTTACCCACTCTTCTCTGTGGGAGTAACATTTTTGGCCCATTTATTATTATCCAAAGGCAAAAAAACCCTACTGTTCAGTCTATATCCTGTGTTATTTTAAAAATATCTAATACAGCACGCACATAAATGTTGGGACAGGTGGCTATAAAAAGAGAAGAAGAAAGAAAAGAAAAAAGTTGGAAGCTAATATCAGAAAATGGCTTTTTTTGCTGAAGATATAATTAGACAAAGCTGTAAAAATTAAGACTTAGCAGTAGGAGAGGCTGGAGGGGAGCTACTTGGGGCAGAGATCTACAGCTCAGCTTAAGGTGCTCTGGGCTTCCTATGGAGTACATGGAGCTGTTTCATGTATAGCTCTTCTGAATTCCAAGAGGAACTAGGTAGGAAGGGGTGGGCTCAACACAGACAGGAAAGACTTTCTAAGATAGGACTCTCTCCCAGTGAACAATGGAATCAAGTCATTAAGCAACTACTTTCTAACTACTATAGATTTAATGGTGCCATAGTAAAGTCAAAAGGGGTACAATGACATTAAAACAACACCTTTGTGTCTAAAATTAGAAGTCCTCAAAAGGAAAACAAGGGCATTCTTAGAACAAAATGTACATATTTTAATTCCTATATTGTTATATAAAATATTATTACAGTAGTCACTGAGATCTCTATCCTATTTTTCCTGAAAATCCTAGGATTTGGGGTTTTGGTGCCATGAACACCAAAAAATTACACTAAATAGTGGCTGGAGAGATGGCTCAAGTAGGTGACAGAGCTTGCTGCATGAGCATGATGACCTGAGTTTGAAACCCTGGCATCCAAATGCAAAGCTGAGTGTGGCCATACATGCCCACAACCCCAAAGGTAGCAGGGTGGAGACAACAGCATCCCTAGGCTTGCTGGCCTCCAGCCTAGCTCCAGATTCAGTGAGAGACTCTGCCTTAAAGAACTGAGGTGGGGAGTGATAGACTAGGACACCAAATGTGGTCCTTTGACCTCCCCTTTATAACAGGACACACATATATCCACATGCACCACACGCAATATTTAGTAATGACACAAAATAATTGTTCAGCTTCAAGTTAATAATGTCCAAGCCTTGGTTTCTTTCTCAGGAAATGCCCCTGCTTGCCATTCATCCAGTTGCAGGAGTCCTCTCTGCTTTCCTTGTCTGCCTTCCTCTCTCTCTCTCTCTCTCTCTCTCTCTCTCTCTCTCTCTCTGTCTCTCTCTCTCTCTCTCTTTGCTTCTCCCCACACCCCTTGTTTCCTCTTGCACATCAGCTAGCTGCCATGGCTACAGATGATACTGAACAGACAGTGAACATCTGGCTCTCTTCTCTTCAAAGGTTTTTTTTTTTATGTTGTTAACCCTTTCTCTGCTTTTAAATGTTAATTTTAAAATGTGGATAAGTTAAAAGGCTATAATGAAAACAATTAAAGTCATTAATGCTCCCCAGTGCCCAAGATAAGCATTGTTTTTGTGTTCACTGTTTCTTGTTGGCCTTGTCAATTACCCATAACACAGATTGGATTCTGTGAATTCAATGACTCCTCGTCCTCTGTTTCCTCCTAAAAGTAAGCCTCCATGCCCATGTGCTTCTGAGGCAGGGATTCCAGACTGTTGCCCTGTCTGCTCGATGGTAGAACTTAGCTGGCTGTGCAGCTGTTCCTCCCAGAGGGGCTTTGTTGATCTCTGCTCATGTCACTCATGAAGCCATTTTTATGAAGTGATAAAATACTTAGTTTCCTAGCCAAAAGTGGCCCCCTAAAAGGGAGCCAACACTTAAGACTAAGGAAAGGGGAAAAGAGGTATAAAGATTTAATAGCTCTTTGCTAAAATTAGTACGATTTTTCATTGGCAACTCTGAGCTATGTTGTCATGGGGCAATCACATGTTCTTATACACTCTGCTGTAGATGCCGTGATAGTCCAACATGAGCATTCCTAGAAGTGCAAAGATACAACCCTCCTGCCTACCAGGGATCTACTGCATGCTTAGTTCTCTGCTTTGTTCTTCTAACACTTTCTTATGAGCCTTCTTCCACGTAACAGACATTCGGGATCTAATCACATGTCAGACCTATCATGTGTCTGCCATACTATAATTGTCACTTCTGCCTTACACCAAAGGAATCTTTGTTGAAATTTGTATAGCAGTTCATTCCACTTTTGTCTCTTGAGTAGAAGGTCACATCTATTATGTGGCCAGAAAGCCTCAGTGCATTTGTTTGTGGTTAAGGAACAACTAAAAACAAAAACAAAAAAAAGAGTCATTTACCCCATCTAACAAGCACTGTTGTTCTCAAAGCAGCTTGAAATATAAAGCATACAACCTCTGGCTTTGGAAACCTCATGTAAGGTATTATAAAAAGAGCAGAGAACCACCTTCATAGATAGGCTTGTAACAGAACTTCGTTTTTTTCCCCCCTCCAAGGCAGTAGTAAAGCAGCTTGATTGGTGAGGGTTAGACAGGTGTAAAAGGCTCTCATTCATGCTACCATTGTCACAGTCACTAGCAAACAAACAAAACCGCATTGAAATTCTACCTCCTTTTGGGAATTTAGAGCAACAATATCCAGCAGATGCCCAAACTTGAATGCCCCAAGTAGCAGCTCAAGTGTTATTTGGGGTTGGTCAGTTGGTTTGTGTTTTTGGTTTTATTTTTTCCAGCTCTGTTTTAGTTTGGCAATAAAGTATATAAATTACCACTGGTTGGGGACCATATTGTGAAAAATGGATCTCGTATTTGAATCCTAATGTAACCATAAAGAAATACTCTGCAACTGGAGAGAGATGGCATATGTAGGAGGCTTATAAAAAACTGGATTTGTATGCTTACTGGGTGGAAGGAACAAGAGCCTGGGAGTCATACAGTCTAGCTTGAAACTGTAGATCTGCCACCTACCAGTTGAGCAGCCTTTGATTTTCGTCCCATGAAGTGACAATAATAACAATCCTTTACCTCATAAAGTTGTCATGAGGGATAAATGCTACCATATATTTAAAGAGCTTAGTGTGTGTGTGTAGGGGGTGCTGACACACAATGATCACTCAGTAGATGTTAGTTACTACAGCTATGACTGAGATTTTGGCAGTGCTAATAGTACTGATGTTGTCTACAGAAGCCAATCTCCATATATTGAGATTTTTATCCATGAAAAGGAGAGATAGATTTCTAAAATTCTCTAAGTCCAAAAAAAAAAATTCTTCTCTACGGGTTGTTCTAAAACCAGGAGACAATTCCTAGGAAAACATCAGCTTGAGCCTAAATCACATTTATTGGGTTTCTAAGATATAAATGATCTTTCCAAGACTGAAGTCTCAGGTCATAAGTCTCAAGAATAACCCTCACATG